ATTGGTTCAACCGTGGGTGCACCAAATCCTCTTTATGGTTAGACTAACTTTGCCTTAAAACTTTTGAAGTTCTCTGGTTGACTTCAAACCTAATTTTGCAATAACATTCTTTAAAAAAATCCCAGTGTAAACGAAACAGTTCAGTTATTGTCTTTTTCCCACATTTTCCACAGTATAAATAGCTGCTCTCCATGAAGTCCATGCTCACAAATCAGTCCCTCAGCCCTCAAAAGGCTAAACACAAAGCAATGGAGTATCACAAACTCAGTGCAAAACAATGCAGCCCTTACTTATTCTTTCACATTCTTTTACTCTTTGCTTTCCTTGCATCCTTTGCAGATGCGGCAGTTCACTTCCATGAATTTGTTGTACGACTTCTTCGAACATAATTTCAATCAAGTATAATACTTCTTGTTGAAAATTTACCTTTTTTTTTCTTGTTTTGTTGACACAGATTGAAGCAAAACCAGTGAAGAGGCTGTGCAGAACTCATAGTACGTTACGGTGAACGGGCAATTCCCAGGCCGACGTTGGAAGTGCAAGACGGGGATACTCTGGTGATCAATGCTATAAACAAAAGCAGATACAATGCCACCCTCCATTGGTAATCCTTGAACGGCTATACAATACTACTGTACTGCTGTTTGTGTCATTTTGACATTCCATTAATCAGGCACGGAGTGCGACAATTGCGAAATCCATGGGCTGATGGACCCGAGTTAGTGACGCAGTGTCCCATTCGACCGGGGCAGTCTTACACATACCAATTCACCATCCAAAACCAGGAGGGGACTTTGTGGTGGCATGGTCATAGCAGGTGGCTTAGAGCCACAGTTATGGAGCTCTCATCATATATCCTAAATTGGGTTCTCCATACCCTTTCCCTTTGCCCAAGAAAGAAATTCCAATTCTTCTTGGTAACACTTTGTCTTCAATCTTTGTACTTAACATACATAGATATACGTACATACATATATATATATATATATATATATAGAATAACTCAAATGGACTATGATGATGATGATAAACAGGAGAATGGTGGGATAGGAATCCAATGGATGTCATAAGACTGGCACTTTTCACTGGAGCTGCCCAAATATATCTGATGCATTGACAATTAATGGTCAACCAGGGGATTTATATAGATGCTCTAGTAAAGGTATGTTCTCACCATTTAAATCGGAAGAGGAGCATCGATATAGGAGATGATATAGTAGCTCATCAATTCCTAATGCAGAAACTGCGGTATTTCCCGTGGACGCGGGAGAGACAATTCTCTTGAGGATCATCAACTCTGCAATGAATCAAGAGATGTTCTTTGGTGTAGCTAACCACAAACTAACTGTTGTTGCTGTTGATGCTTCCTACACCAAGCCATTCGCGACGAATGTCATAATGATAGCACCTGGTCAGACAACCGATGTCCTTCTTACAACGGATCAGACTCCAGGTCGTTACTACATGGCAGCACATGCCTACAACACTGCCAATGCCCTTTGACAATACCACCACGACTGCAATCCTTGAATATAAATCCGCTCCGTGCAGTGCAAAGAAAGGGCAGTCTTTAAAACCGATATTCCTCAGCTACCGGGGTTCAATGACACAGCCACCGCGACTGCATTCACTTCACAGCTAAGGAGTCCTTCCAAAGCCAATGTTCCCCTTGAAATAGATGAGAGCTTGTTTTTCACAGTGGGTTTAGGACTAATCAAACTGCACAAATCCTAATAGCCCTCGGTGCCAACCCAACGGAACTCGTTTGCTGCCAGCATCAACAACGTCTCATTCGTATTACCAAGAAGGAACTCCTTAATGCAGGCCTACTACCAAGGTCAACCCGGTATCTTCACCACGGACTTTCCGCCTTTTCCTCCCGTTCAATTTGATTATTCAGGAAATGTGCCCCGAGGTCTCTGGCAACCTGTTAAGGCAACGAAGCTTTATAAACTGAGGTATCGATCCAAGGTACAAATAGTCTTCCAGGATACAAGTATCGTCACAGTGAAGATCATCCAATGCATCTTCATGGCTACAATTTCTATGTTGTTGGAAGTGGTTTCGGTAACTTCAATCCCAAAAACGATCCAGCCAAATTCAACCTTATCGATCCGCCAAAGAGAAATACCGTTGGAACACCTCCTGGTGGGTGGGTAGCTATCCGGTTCGAGGCTGACAACCCAGGTAAGATGCCAAATTTCCATAAATAAGTACCAAGTACATTCCTTGAGTCAAAATTAAATGGCTTCCATGTTTGATATGCTTTTAATTTATTGACTGGTCCAAAAACAGGTATCTGCTCCATTGTCATATAGACAGTCATCTTACTTGGGGTTTGTTCATGGCATTCCTAGTTGAAAACGGAGTTGGAAAATTGCAGACAGTGCAGCCTCCACCACTGGATCTGCCCCGATGCTAAACATCAAGTATTACACACTCCAGTTTCATCCGTTTACTCAATACCTGGATTTCTTTTCAAGCATTTTATAGGTTTGTTTGCTTTGATGTTATTGTATTGCTAAAAAACCTATTATTTGGCATCATCAGTGTGTGTTCCTATGAACAAGTTAATAGTGCGAGTTCCATAGTTTTTTATGTTTAGTATCTAATAAAATAACAGATGATCTCTACTCTCAAAAGTCTCCTCCTCTCCTTATACAATGAAAACAATCAGCACGTGGAAGCTTGTCTACACCGTTTTTCGCCCGAGTAGGAAAAAACAAGTACCGACTTGGGGTTTTTCTTTGAAAAGATTTTGAAATACGAGGAGTCGCTACCAATTATTTTAAGGTGAGATCGGGACACCATAAAAATCGGTTAATTTTAATAAAACATTTTATTTTATCAAAATACCAAGTTTAGGATCTACGAAAACCAGAAAATAGGTTCATGAGTCAGTCACGCATGGAAAGGATTAACACCCCACAACGCCCAAAAATTGGTACCAAGTTGATTACCCTATTTAAAATTGGAAATTTTGAGTTCGAACTTTATCTAATTAAAAAAATCATTACGGATGCAAAGTTAAAAAGACTATTCGTTTATTAAAGCTAATAGCATTCACCTCTAGCATGAATGCGGGAGATCAGCTATTGTTTCCAAATAATCGGACATTCCTCGATATTTTAGAAATCATAATGCAGTTTTGAAAAGGATGTCGACTTATTTTGAGAATCACCAGTTGTCACCCCTGAGCATATTTGCGGGAAATATACTATTGACTCTCTAATAAGTGAACATTAACTTAGATTTTAAAACATGATGCAATCAAACAATTTGTTATCAATCCTAATTAAACTAAGGGCAGATTAAGGTTTTCTCTATCTTAAAGTGTCAAATTATGAAAATTAAAGAACATAGAGGCCCAAACCTGAAAATATAGGCTCTAATATTAACTTAAATTAATTTTAATCATTATTGCAATTCGAATAATTAAAGTTGAACCTCGAGAAAAAGCGATGACCAAATTAAGAATCCTCCTAATTTAAGGACTAAATGTGAAATTAAGCCTAAGATGGAGGCTTTAATATTATCCTAATTAATTTTAATATATTATCGATTCGAATAATTAAATTGGAATCTCAAGTAAAAGCGATGACCAAATTAAGAGTTCACCTAATTTAAGGATTAAATATAAAATTAGGCCTAAGATGGAGGCTCTAGCATTAATCCTAATTAATTTTAATCAATTATGGACTATCGAATAATTAATTCGGCACCTCGAGCATAAGCGAGGACCAAATAAAAAATTCTCTTAAATTAAAAGTTTAGGGACCAAATTTTAAGGAATATACATTTAAAGACTAGACCTAAATCTAACTAATCTAGATTAATACTAAAATATTCTAAATCTAAATCGAAAGGTTTAATTTAAAATAAAAAATTCTATGACTAATTTAAAGAAATTGAAATTAAAGACAAAAATTAAATAAATAAACAATTAACACATAAACATGGACCAAATTGAAACAATTTAAAAATATAGACCTAAAATTAAAACATTAAGTAAAATACTAAAATGAAATAAATCAAAACATAAGGCTTAAATTAAAAAATTGCAGAAAATCAAAGCTACAATTTAAAAGACTAAAATTAAATAAATAAAAGGTAAAGGGCACAAAATTAAATGTGCATAAAATTAAATAACAAAAATAAAAGAACAATAAAAATAAAATGTTAGTGTTAATTTTTAATATTTAACCCGGACCATAAATAATGTGAGTCGTACCCTAGAGCGGGTCGTCGCAACGTGGTACCATGGTTTGAGCATAAAATAAATAAATAAATAAAAAGTTAACAGTTAGTGGTTAGATGTTAATAGAGTCCGGACCATAACAATATGGATCGTACCCCAAATCGGGTCACCACAAGGTAGATTCGAATAATATCAATAAATAAACAAATATAACATTGGTTAATATGCAATAAAATAAAAGTTAATAGTTAATTCAAAATAATGAAAGAAGCATAACAAAAGTGACCATATTGTAAATAAGCAGAACAGTGTATCAAAATTACAATAAACAAAATATAAATAAAAGGGTCAAAATATAAATAAACAAAAGCATCACATCAAAATTAAGATAGATAAAATGTAAACATGTGACCAGAATGTAAAATAATGAAATTAATATGTGAAAATCAAAATAAATAAAAAAGAAAATTATGTGACTAAAATGGAAAAACACAGCAACACTTGGGGGAGTAAAACAAGATTTATCATTTTTTAATTTTAATAATACCTAACAAAACAAAAAGGTGAACTAGGATGGTCAGACCCTAGAAATCAAAATAAAATTAAAAAAGCTCAAGACCAGTGACCAAGTTGCAAAATCACGGTAAAGATAAGGGGATCTAAAGGGAGTTTAACCCTAAAACTAATGACCTAAATGTCAAAACGTGGTAAACTTAGGATGGCTAAAACGAAAATATCCCAAAAACTTTAATATTAACCCTAATATTTTAATCTAAAATTTAACCTAAAACAAAACCAAACTCATCTTCCTCTCACCTCAAGCGGCCGCTATCCAAAAAGACCAAGGGGTCTTCGACGGCCGGCCATCAACTGCCACGCTTCGACGGTAGCTCACTCAAGCTCCGACCGACGACCCAGCTTCTCCCCTGGTCGAAACCCAAAACCGAGTCTCTCTACCCTTCCTTCCTCGATCTGGACCTCAAAGGAAACCTAAAAAATGATTTGGGATTAAAAATCCCAAAATCGATAGCCTTAACGGCCACCGCCTTCCCCGACACCCAACGAACCCCAATGGTTTGGCTCCGACCGACAACCCGACTACAGCGGGGCCTATAGGGCTAAGGTAACGGCTCGACCTCTTTTCTTTTCTAGTTTTTTTTTGCACTCACCGAAACCCCAACTCACTTCCTCTCATTTTCGCTCGCGAGAAAAAAAAAGAAATGGAAAAGGCTGCTAAAAATCACCACCTTTTGAATATTTCTTTGTTGTATTGATTTGGTTTCCTCTTGAAATAAGGAAGAAGATGGTTACAAGTGCCTTCTTTCCAGAGAAAGAATCGGCGGAGAGAAAATCTCAGGGGAATTACTAATGCTCTCCTTTTCGAGAGGGAAAGAAAAGAAAATTCAGAGGGGTCCCCTCCTGTTTTATTCTTTTTCGGGTTTATACATCCACCCAAATCCTAAAAAAATTTACAATTGGTTCCTATGCATGTGATTTGCTTATGAGGATTGGTAAGGTATGGTTGGTGGCATGTGCGTGGAGCTGAGTTGATGGAAACTGCTGGGATTTGGTGACAGCAGGTATGGTTATAATGATTTTTTTTTTTGCATTTTAAATTAATTATTTTTTTTGGGATAAAATGGTATTTACAAAGCTCTTCTTTTCCAACAAAGCCGGTGTCATGATAAAGAACGAAAAAGCACCGTCATTGCATTGCCTTCCCCAAGCAAAACCCATCTGACAATAGACCAACAACTTCTGCCACATGCTTGTACTGACCCCTAATGAGGGGCGTTGATAATTCTCCAACAAATTCGACTTTCACATAACATAATTTATATCATCTGGTACAATGTTGATTTAACCCTTTTCTTTATATACATACGTATTGGCCATCGTCGGAATGATGTGCTGCATTTGAACATAATACCATGGTTCCTCTTGTTTATCTATTGCCCTTTACAAACCCTACCAAGAAATAGTTCTTAGAAACCCTAAATGTCTTAAGATCATCTGGAATTTTTGTTAAGATCTCAGAATTTTCTCTTTTTTTCCATTTGATGAGTTCAAATATTAGAATAATTCTTTTGGTTCCTGTCTCATCGCTCATGCAACAAATTTCGTGCATCGAGTATCGTTATGTATATTTGGCATCGGCAAGAACAAAAGCGCATACCGCGAGTCACACACATATCTTGCACTAAAGCCACAGACGCTGCAAAAATGCCGGCGGGAAGTAGAGCTTGGAGGTTCTCAGATAGGAAGGAACATGAGGAGGCAATGATTCAGGTTTGCCTTCAAAAATAAGAATTAGTTAGTTCAGGAAAATGAGGTAAAATCAAGATGACTTAACACAGCACTATCCTTTTACCTCATGTAAGAGCTCAAGAATGATCTGGAAGCCTTCCTAGCATTTTCAAGTGCTTTGGCCTGTCGGGTTTTTCGTTTCGCTTGGATCTCTTTTGCATGTACGCTGAAAGTAAAAGTTAAAGAAAATGAACAAAGTTCTAAAGCAAGAAAAACAAGGTGACCCAAATAGTTAAAACAGTTCCCAAACTAAATTCAGAAGAGAAAGTTCAAAGATAGTTACATTCCTTGACAACTTCAAATAATACTGCCCTTTTAAAATTGTGTGGGTTGAATAAAGCAGGTCATGAAGAATGGAAACATATTAATGGCCAAATACTTTCAAGGTTCAAACATTTAGTGGTAGTTTTTTTTACAGTCCAGACTCGCTGTAAAGAATCATCAAATAATTGGCAAAAGGAATACGTATACGGGAAGGGTGCATGAACAAAACCGTGGCAGAAAAGAACACAGAGGGTGATACTGATGTACCACGCCGGTTTGGCAAAATGTCCTTAAACTATGGGGTACTACGAGGCAGGGTGCCGACTGGATTGCTTAATTCAATTGGTTCAACAAGAAGGTTCTAATTGCACTTCTTAATATAATCAAGAACTGAGCAGGCATAGACTTCAAGAAAGATCGCAGGGGACAGAATTAATGTGAAGATTGCGTAAAATTGCAGATTAGAAGATGGCATGTCTGTTTAGCAAGTTGGTTTATTTTTGCTGACGCTGTGCTACGGGTGTATTAAACTTGTAAAACTGCTATATGCAGTTCACTTTTTAGTAAGCTTCTAAATACAAAACTGATTTATAATAGGAAAAAAATCAAAGACAGGAATATTAATAATGCTATGACATCTGGTGCAACATCCTTTTAAAAGACTTTTATGGCATAACTTATAGTGAAACACACAAGCAAAACTCTGAATAAAACCATCTACCAAAAGGCATAATATAAAAAAAAACTCCAATGACTAAATAGTTATTTTGACCCATATCCTTCTTTCTTAACATTTTACCCCCAACATTTTATGGCAAAAAGCCCCTAATGTTTGACTAAATAGTCATTTTGGCCTTTATTCTTTTTTCTAGTGTATTTTGGCACCCGATGTTTTATTTTAAGGCAAAAAAGACCCCAATTTTAAAGTATTGACAATTTGTTAACTAATGGTTTTCCTCCATGAAAAATATTTTTTTTGCTTCAAAATGAAACGAGTTGGGAGGAATGTTAAAAAAAAGAATAGTGGCCAAAGTGATTATTTAGTCAATGTTAGGAGTATTATTGTCATTATGCCCTCTAAAAAATGATGCATACAGTAAGAATGTTCAACTATGACAGCATAAATCATGCTCTTTAAGCATTACTGAGATGAATAAAGTTTATATTTTCAACTAAACTTTCTCCGGTAGGAATTCAAGTGGTTGAAACTTGAAACAAAGATCATCCTAATTACTTTCACCAACAACAAAAATCAACTAACAAAAGACATGTTTTTTATTTGCTATTTCTGAGACAATGTCAAAATGAACTAGCAACTTAATTCAAATGTTTAATACCCTTTTGTCCTACTAAGGAAATATACCATTTCAAACTATCAAATACCAGTTTTCCTAATTAAAAAATATCACATAAAGAAGGAAGGAAACCTTGATCATCTTCATCAAGAGACGCTTCATCATCATCGTTCATTTCAACTGTTTCAATCCCAACGTTATCATTCTCCAAAGCTTCAAGACGGGCCAATCTGCCTTTTCTCCCCCCTCAACATTAAACCCCAACCAATTAATTTTCAAATATTTCACAGCAAAAATTTGAACACTAACAGATGTCTAAATTCAATAAGGAAAAAAAACTTGGGTCCGACTATCAGCACTGCCGAGTGCTGCAGCCATATTAGGGTCCACTTTACGAGTGCGGGTCGACATTCTCCGCAACGCGTTCGAATTGTCGTCATCCATAGCTGCAAAAAATCAAAGGCGAAAAATGTTCTTTAGGAATTAAAATTTGTATAGTAAGAGACAGCGGTAGAGGATAAATATACCGGAGGATAAGTAGTGGCCAAAGAGGTAACAAAGCGGAGGTCGGCGGCCGTGACGGAGAGAGTGGCAAATTCTGGAAAGTAATATGGAATCTAATTGGATCGGGTTTAGAAGCAGCAGCAGAGTGTAGTGAAGAATATTGGGCTCTGCTCTGTTTTAACCTTTAATGTGCTCAATTAAATTTGTTGGTAAACCACATAATTATGAGATGGTCACGAAATGACCACTATTTTAAATTTATTAATATGATTACTGAATTATTTAAATAGTTTTAATATAGTCACCTACAGTTAACACGGGAGGAAAAAATAGTATAATTAAGGCATGGGTCTTTGTAAAGTTACGTATTTTCGGTTCTGAAATCCTGTTTTGTTTTCTTCCATTTTCTTCACTATTTGTGTATTTTTATTTCCTTGGATTTTCATTTAATGTAATTTAACCCTGATTCTGTTTTAAAATTTTCTAATGCCTTAATTGAGCAAGTTTAAAATCTTTTTATTCTAGTTATGTATTAAATTTGTAGATTAAATCTCCTAGATTTTATAATTAATCAATTCGATCACCAAGATATCTTTAATTTTAATTAGGTCCTTATTTCAATTTAATTGAATAAATTTATTTCTCCAATCAAATTGTGACACATGTCACAATCTTATGATTATAATTTGAATATTAACTATAATATATATATATATTTTTTAATCATTGACTATAATATAATATATATAATTTAAATATTAAATTATATTTAATGATTTCATATATATATATATATAATCATTAAAATAAATATAAAATAATAAATTTAGTTTAAAATATTAAAATCTTAATCAAATAGAAATAAACTATTAGATTTATTTTAGTGATTTAAGTGTTGTTATATTCTCAATTGGCCTAGATGTAAGTTCTCACTTATCCCTTTTTATTTTTTTATCATTAACTAATATATATATTATAATTGATTCCTAGATATTAGATTTAGCTTATTGGTCCAGGCTTGCTTAATTACTAATTAATTTTGGGTTCAAATCCAATTAAGTTATTTTAATTTTTTTCCTGGCTAAACTTGAACTAGTTATATAACATATGTATTATCTTAATAACAAACGTGAGAATTAACTTAGTCGTTAAGGCATGCACAAGTTACTCTTGGGTGTTAAAACTCATCTTTATTTATTTTCACTTCAATTCAAAAGGTGACATGTGTCATCTTTTGATTGGATTAAAAGTTTATTGAATTAGTTAAATTAAAATTAAAAAATCATCTAATTAGATTGTGACAGATGTCATAATTTGATTGGAGAGATAAATTTATTAAATTAAATTGAAATTAGGATATAATTAAGAATTAAGAATTAAAGTTAATATTGATGATCAAATTGATTAATTCTAAAATCTAAGAGATTTAATCTATAAATTTAATACATTAATAGAATAAAAGATTTTAAAGTTAATGCTCAAATTAATTCATTAGACAAATTAAAACCAGAATCAATATCAAATTGCATTAAATGAAAATCCAAGGAAATAATTCATACACATAGTGAACAAAATGGAAGAAAACAAAGTAGGGTTCCAGCGCTGCAAATACGTATTACAAAACCTGTGCCCTAATTATACCAATTTTTTTAATTGCCATGTAGACACTTCCATCAAATGTTAACGGCAGCTATATTGAAACCATTTAAATAATTAAGTGGTCATATTGACGTAAATTTGAAAATTGTGGTTATTTCGTGACCTAGCCTATAGTTATGCGATCATTTATGTAGTTTACCCTAAATTTATTCACATGTGGATTTTTCTTTCAATTTTTATATTTTTTTTAGTTTAATTTTTTAAAATTTTTAAAAATGAAATGAAATTAAAATTTATATTAAATTTTGAAATATTTGTAACAAGATGATTTATTGTAATGAATTCTTGATTAAATACTCTTAATTAAATACACCATAATAAATAAATAAAATATAGTTTTCTCTCATTGGTGTACCACTATCTCTTTTCTTTTTCATCTTTGTTGATCGGCGACGGCACTAACTTTAATGTTGGTTGCCAACTGCTAGTATTCTATATTGTTTTTTTCTTCTCTATATCATATCTTTATTTTCTTTTAGTTTTTATTTTCAATAAGTTTGTTTGTGTTGTACGCTTTCATCTTCCTTTGTGACACGTTTTCTTATGCTTTTTTGCATGTTTTTTTGTTCTCAGGCCGTTTTTCATTTATACTTTTTCTAAGGGTTGATTTGATATCGTCATGACTGATCAAGATGACACTTATCTGATATCTTGTTAATCTTCCCTGTTTTGGACCCTTGGATTGGATTTGGATACTCGATTTGCATTCTTGGATAGTTTTTCATGTCACTCGAGTATGATTTGCGGTTTGTCGGTGGTCTTTCAATAGCTTGATTCCCTTTTGTGGTTCGTTTACCGATGCAATCAGATCTGTTTGCATATATATTTATTTGAGTTTCTTGGTTTGATTTAATCTTTCCTTGTATGGTCCTTATGTGATCTTAAGTTGCTAGTTTTGTTTCAATGATTATAAAAAATTTGCCTAATTATGTGTTTAATTTACGATTGTGATTATAAATCTTTATTGTAATTGTAAATCTTTATTGTAATTTATGATATTTCCTATTTTGAATAAAATTAGTTACTTTTGTAAAAAAAAAATACATCATAATAAAAAAAACTTGTTTCTAAGTGTTAAAATATTATAAACAATTTATAAATATCGACATGTATAATTTTCTTATTATTAATCATATTAATATAATTTATTTCAATTGCATGTTACACACTAATATTATTAAGGGTAAATTATGTCAATAATCACTAATGTTTGAGTAAATATTTGTTATCACCACTGATATTTGAAAAAGTCACAAATCAATTACTAAAGTTATTTACAAAATGATCACCCAAAGTTAATAGCCATTAATGAGGGTGACGAAAAGATGACGTGGCACGTTAATATGATTTTTTGGCATCATTTAACCATCTTGATCGTCCCTTCTTCTTCAACCCAACTCATTTTTCTTCTTCTTCTTCAACCTAACCCCTTCTTCGTCTCGTTTGGGTTCAAGCTGAGAATAACATGACTAGAACCTGATCCAGATGATGAGAATGAAATACAATGGTCAGTGAAGGTTTACCAGCTTCTCGTGGTAACTTCAAATATGGAGGGTCCGAAAACGTTGAAGATCGTCTGATGTTTTTTCATTTGATATATTGAGAAAAAGGAACAACTAGAAAATGAAAAACGAAGAGTCCTCATTGATTTCACTTCCTGTTTTGATTCAAACGTAAGGCTTTGTAGGTGATGCAAACCACCATCAACACCCTGAAGCTCGAGGTTGGTCGAAGTGTTCTCCGGGGTCGCGGAATCAACTCGTGGGGTGGAAATCTCGAAAGCTCTAATGGCATTTGTAATGTTAACAATATCAGTATTTAAGTCGAACCATATGATAAGAATAGTGAACTTCTTAGTACCTCTCGATTGTTTGAATTCAACCTTTTCTTCATTGGATCCGACACCCAAATTGCCATCCTCTAACTGGTTTTCTTCACTGGACCAGTTTTGTAAACTAAGTAGGACAAGAGTTGCATTTATTTCAGCTAAGTCATTGATTCTAACTACATATATACTACAAATTTGACACAACATTAAATTTCTCCTTGCACTTTCATCAATATACATCAAATTTTAATATGCTTGAATTCATTTCATCCATTAATTGTCATATGGAAACAATGGGGTAAATTGT